CACTGGATGTTGTAGGTGAGGACAGTGTGATTTGGGAGGATAGTCAGAAGGTTCTTAGTGACATGGAGTAGTTCTGAGAACATGTTTCCATTCCCTCATGGGCTTGAGACTCAGTTAATTCAGCTGTAAGATTCAAATAGGAGTTCACTAATAGTTCCTCTAGGTTGGGACATTCTTACTAGGCTCTACTTGAATATGTAGGAAACTGTGGGTCCTAAAGGACTTTGAAATTATAAGATGATTTTTAAGTGAAAATATGTGTATGATTTTCATCCTAGAAAACTCCTTCCATTTTATTTCATATATTCTCTAAAATAAGTGTACATTTTATCAATGGGTGAAAGAATCTATTTTATTCTTATAGGGGAAAAATTAAAACATAATTCACTATAATATAGTGTAATATTTTTAAAATACCAGAAATCTGGACCAGGAAGGCAATTTAACTTTGGCATATATGACATATACCTGAAGTATGCTGTATGATTTGTATTTGAGCATCAAAAGATGTCATAAATACACAGCTACTTCAATAAATCCAGGAGAAGTCTTTCTGCCATGTGGAAAAAGGCAAGTTTTATTTTTCATCCCTATATTTTAAGGAGTTGTATTCCTTGGTTTCACAGTAAGTTTTGGTGAAGACTCTTTAGCAGTGTAGGTATTGAGAAACATAGCACTTTAGTATTGTTCTGTGTTCAATGTTTTCACTGTAAATTTATTATTTCATTCATATTTTGAACTCTATTTTGTCATTCTTACTATTGTTCAAAATTCTATTGAAATATATTTCTTGATAAGAATTTTAAATACTTTTTATTGGCAGTATTCCATGGTAGTACACATAACAAAATTTAAATATTGAAGAAAAAGATGCTTGTATTCATTTACTCATTCAAAAAATATTTATAGTGTGCCTCATATACCAATTACTACACTTAAGCTGGGCAAATAAAAGTAAGCAAAACAGACAAACAATTTCATTTAATTTGTGTTTCTGTGTGGGGAGGCAGATGATTAACAAAATAAATAAATAAATAATATCTGTGCATCGAAGAAGGAAGATGGCAGAGAAGAACGCATGTATCAGGTGCGTAGAAATGTATAGTTTACTGCAGAAATAATTTTTATAGCAGGGTAACTGAAGAGCTTATGAGATTCATAATATAAATATAAAGAGCTATAACATAATATTAGTACTCAAGTTTATTCACATATATTTAATATTACTTAACTGTGAGACATTGTTTGATGTTTTCATATGAAAAATTAATTTAATTTCCAATGCAACCTGATGAGGTAGGATTTGTTCCTTCACGTACATATATGAGAAAACACATATCTGTGATAGGTATATGATAGATTAAAAAAAGTAGCCCTCCTGGGTGAAGGAAACAAATTACAGAACCAGAATTAAGCCCAGATTTTTGGTTTCCAATCCTTGTGTCATTACACTACACATTGGTGTATCTAACACTCCCCATACTTTATTATAGCATTCTGTACTTTTTTTTTTTTTTATCTAAGGTTCTATACACATTTCAGATTTTGAAGTCTTTCCCATAAAAATAATGTATTTGGTTATAAAACAACTTTCATGTGGCCTAGCAAAGTGATTTCTGAGGAAGTATTCTGCCAGTCTCTCAGGAGAGAGAAGCAGGTGACTCAGAAGTTCATGTATGAATGTTCAGGAATACTCGTTCTTTTCTCAACTCTGGTCAGCAGCGTTGTAAGTGTCAAGTTAGTTGTTGCAGTGGTGGCCAGTGAGTAAATGTATTTTTCCACTAAAAACATATCTTTGAAACTGCAAGAGTAATCAGGAGCTCTGATTTGCAAAACTGCTGGTATTGACATTTAGTAATGTTGTGTTTGCTCATGTGGTTGACATAATTGGTCATGTAATTTTTATTTCACTTATGCAGCGTGTGCACCTGTTGTCAGACTGGCTAAAACTGTTCTTGCCCTTTGGTATTGGGCCATTCTGCTGATACAGTGTGTTATAAATATTACAAGGACAGGAGCAGTTTGTATTACGGGATAATACAACATCATTTAATATGAATGAGCTCATTTCCTATTCTCTATGAGTTAAAATATCAGTCTAAGTTGTAAATGTTACTACGAAATATGGCCAGTAATCACACTTTGCTTAGAGTATACTCTACAAAATATATACTGGCATAAGTTACTTTTCTCCTCCTTAAATTGATGCTGGTTGGGAAAGAAGGAGGGGTGATGTCTTTCAATATAAGCTAAAGTTTTAAAATACTTTCTCGTCATGTGAAGTCCCTGCTCTACTGGAGTGTGCTGTAATAGAGGGGCATCTTGTGATTATGCAGGAAAACTGTGTGAGAGGGAATTCTGGGTCTTGTGTGACTCACTGAGTGGCACTGCTATATTTGGAAGTGTCTGTCTTCCCTTCCACATAGAGGCCTGTTTACTTCAGTCTCCTCTGTGCCTTCTACCCCTCTTTGGAACTCTCAACCTGATTTCAGTTTCAAACACTTTTTACAAGTTCATCATTAAAATGCAGCATTTGCATTTGCTAGGGAATCAGGTCCCACTTTTCAGGTAAATTCTTGAATGTAAGTAGTTTCCTTATCAATACAACATAACATTCTTTAACAGGGAAAACAGCTAAGCAGGTTTTTCTAAAGTACCACATGCAGGAGATGATTAGCTAGTGTTCTGTTCCTCTCATCCTGCATCTCATGTACTAAGTTCCTATCTTAGCACATGCCAGGAAGATCTTCAACTCAGGAAGCTCTTGTAACTCATTTTTCTTTATGATGTATTGTTATTACTCTAGAAGGCAAACAGTACTCTCTATGTGGTATACATAACCTTAAACACTTGGCAGATATTAACTTTCTAATTGTCATAGCACTTTCAGGGGAAAAGTAGTGTCCAAGACCTTACAAATATAACTGGTGAGGATGAGTGATTCAAATCTGGCAGTTTGGCTTTAAAGGTGCTACTTTAGCCTGGGCATGGTGGCATACGCCTGTAATCCCAGCACTCGGGAGGCTGAGGCAGGAGGATCATTGCAAGTTTGAGACCAGCCTGGGCTACAAAGTGAGTTCAAGGCCAGTCTGAACTGCATAGCAAGACCCTGTCTCAAAAAGACAAATAGGGGCTGGGGATTTAGCTCAGCGGCAAAGCGCCTGCCTGGCAAGCGCAAGGTCGTGAGTTCAGTTCCCGGTACCGGAGAAAAACCAAAAAAAAAAAAAAAAAAAGACAAATAAATAAATAAATAAAAATAAATTAATAAAGTTGCTACTTCTTGCACTTCGCTAGGTTTGGTTTTTAAATTTTCATATAGTGATAATTGTATGCAGTGAACACGTAGATGTGGTTCCTGCCTGTACAGGGTTTATAATCTAAACTTGTTTGTTCTCCTTTCTATACAACTCTTCAAAGATTTTGATAGAGCACTGGGGTTCATCATTTACTAACTGCCTTTGTTAAGCACTTGTCATGTACTGTGTTCTGGAATAAACATTAGAGATGCACCAGCCATGCAGGCCTGGCTGTGAGGGAGCCAGAATGAAGAGATGCAATATCTTTTCATAAATGCTGAATACAGTCTGTGCTTCAATTAAAAATTTCCAAAAGAGATAATGTCTGAGAGACGATTTGGAGTTTGATGATGAATAGAAGAAGGACTTGTGAACAGAGGGCACAGTGATGAATGAAGGGCAGGCTGGAGATGAAGAATGGAAAGGATTGTGATGCGATCAGAGAAAGAAGATACGGTTTAAGTTTAATGGTCTTGTTTTCCTCTTCATAAAGAATCAGACTCAATTCTATCAGTAATGGGAAATTAGGAAGATGCTTAAGTAATGAAAAAACATAATGTATTGAAGACCTTCGTTTTGTTTGGTTTGTAATAATTAGGATTAAACCCAGGGCCTTGCACAGGCTAGACAAGTGCTTTACCATTAGACCAGATCTCTTGCCTTTAAAACATTTACTTTTATTTTGAGACGGTCTTGCTAGGTTTCCCAGGCTGGTCTTGAGCTTGTGACCCCTTTCCTTAGCCTTCCAAGTAGCTACATTACAGGCATGCACCGCCACACCCAGTTCAGACCCAGCAGACAGACAGCTTCACTGCTTTCGTCTGATCGTTCTCCACCCTCTTCTTTGTCTCCTTGTCCTTGGCCTCTTGTATTTCTTGCTGGACCTCTGCCCAATTTCGTCACTCCTCCCAGTAATAAAAGTCATCCTTGTTTTATCAAGTTTTAACCTCAGGTTTTTAGCATAGCACCTGGTATCAGTCATGATGCCTTATAATAAATTTAAATTTCACCCTTACTTCTACTTTTCCGTTCAGAAATTCCCTTGTTAATGGAATGTCAAGCACCACTGTGAGAAAGAGGAATAATTATGTACGGGAGAGCAATGAGCTATTACAGGGAAAGCACGGAGTTGTGGAACCTTGGTAGCTCTCCTTTCCTCACGTTTGTGCCCATGCTGCTTCGGAGATGTTTTCAAATTTTGCCTGGCCATCATTGAGAGACATAGCGTTCTTTATCTCCACTCACTCCCAGCTTGCCTCTCAGCTCGCTCCTTGACCACATTCTTCCATTTCTATCCCTTTTTTGCTTCCTCTACCAGGTTTGCCTGAAACAGGTATTAAAAGATGATGCAGGTGGAACTCTTTCATAAAAACACAGTGTAGATGACAGTCATAGCAACTAATTTATATTTTCACCTAGAGTTGAGCTCTGTATTTCTATACAGCAGTTTGCCCGGAAGGAGCTCCATATTTTAATGGCTTAAAGTGTTTATCTTCTGTAATAGTAAAAATAATTCTGTTCTCTTTCACTTCTAGCATAGGAGGTTGTTCTTCATTTAAAGCCTTTCAGAAATCTGTTTTCATTTCTGCAGAAAAATGTACAGAATAACTTTCTGAATAGCACTTGATTTGCATTGACGATGTCCTTCAAGGGAAATGTACTAATTTTTCATTTTGAATTTTCATGCCTTCTTTCCTTTCTTAGATAGAAGAATTGGTGGAGACACACTTTGGCAGTGCTGGCCGACGGGCTGTGCTTTATCGGCCTCCTTCCTACAGCGAGACGGAACTTCAGCTCTACCAGCATGTCCTCACAGAGTGTCACTACACGGTTGTCATCATGGAAGAAAAGTTCAGTGCTGGTCGTGGGCTGGGGCTGCTAGAACAAGGTCAGAATAATTAGTAATTACCGAAGTCACTTGGCAAAGTTATAAACAATTTCTAGAACATACCACTATCTTCCCTAAAAAATTTTACAAAAACAAATCTTTATCCATCATCAACTTTCTCATAGTAAATTTAGCTCCTGTTTTCTACTTCCTCTCAGATTTTCTTTAGCTAGATCTCTTTATTCCTGAAATTATATTGTTTATATTTTTGTAGCATTTTGGAGTAACATAGTTCATGTTTAAATGCTACATTAAAAATGTTTATGTTTATGAGCCTGCATACATATTCTGCCCAGCTCCAAACTGTTCCATATTTTAAGAAAATTGCCACTTCATTTGACTGCAAGGAGAATGTGTTGGAAATTGTTTCAAGAAGCTAGCTTAAATATGATTCACAGATGGCTCTAAATATGAAAGAAGTAAGGCTATTTATTATAGGTGCCATTACGCATCAAATACTTTTCTGTCTATCATTTGAGGAGAAAAATAAAAGACAAGTATTTTAGTAAGTTATTTGAAAAAAAATTGAGTAGATGCTGAGGGTTAAAAGGGCAAAGGCAATAATAGCTTACATTTCTTGGGCAACTAAACATAGTGTAGACTTTATGGTATACTCTGCATTCATGACTTTCTTTAACCCTCATGGTAGCCCCCGGGTACTCAAAATTAAGAACTATTAACCACCCCTAGGCTGCAGAAGGGAAAACTGAGGCTTTAGAAGATGAAGTGAGCAAGGCTGTGTCTTTCACCTGATATAAGGAAAGGAGGTAGTGGGTGAGCAATATCCCAGCTCTTGTTTACTGTGTACTTCTTCCTTCCTCCTCTTGTCTTACTCTCTTTCGGCCCGTTTTCCTGCACCAAGAGGTCATCACGAGAGCACAGTGATGTAGCATAAGCAAATCAGATTCACCTCTTCAGAATTACACAACACAGATTGCCCCCTAGTATTCACAGCAGATTTATTCTAAGAACCCTATGGGTCCTGAAGTTCACAGACACTCCAGTCTCTGCTATAAAATGGCATAGTGTTTGCCTACAACCTATTCTTACCATGTACTGTAAATCATCTCTAGATCACTTCTAATATCTAATACAACAGAACCCTGTACAGTATATGGTTGTTGCATTATTTAGGAAATAACAACAAGAAAACAAAGCCTGTACATTTTTAGTGCATATACAAGCTATAAAAATATTTCAATCCATGGTCAGCTGCCTCTATGGATGTGGAAACCATGATTATGAAGGGCTGATTGTATATCTATTTTCCTAGTTACTAAAAGGGAGGGGGAATTTGCATTAACTGCTGATTTCTGTTGATGATTCCCTCTGGGAAATAACGGTCAGATCCTGGTACCAAAATACATTTCAAGACAACCTTGCCATCACTGTAATACTTCTTTTTCACTTGCATGCCCCTTGGCTTGTGATGGTCAGAGGAAGTTGGGGAGCTTTTGGGAAGGTTGGGGTAATGTTTAGCCTCCATCACCCTTCATATTGGCAGTCAGCTACTTAGCTAGCAAAGCTTTGAGGGATAGAGCCCAACAAGATTTGTTTTGCTTTTGTTTTTGTTACTGGAGATCGAACCCAAGACCTCACACATGTTAGGAAAGTGTTCTACCACTGGGCTACAACTCTTTTGATTTTAAACCAAAGTTGCACTAAGTTGTCTGGCCTGGCCTTGAAATTGAGATCTTTTGCCTCAGCCTCCGGAGTAGCTGGATTACAAAAGAACTATTTTGATGAAAAGAAAGTCTTAAAATGTGCAGAGTATGTGCCAAGAGGGCAAGTCTTTTGTGAATGCCACTGACCAGTCACTACTGCCTAAGAGTAGTAGGAAAATTTAAAGTGCTTTGCTTCTGGTTACAAATGAGGAAAAACAAAAAACAACATGAAAGCTCTGGAATATTAATAAGAGCTGAAAACAATGTTTGAAAATCTTGTAGCTTGTTTTCATTGGCTATATTAAGAGTGGCCAGTCCAAAGTTCTGGAACATCCATAAATGATATTATCTAAAACCTATTCATCAGGATAACTATGGATAGACATTTCACCCTTTAAGGAAACAGGATGGCTGTACTGACCCTGTCATATGAGCTGTGCTCCTGAAGTCGTGCAGAGCAGCCCTGACCACACTGCACTAGAATCTAATGGTCCTCTCCTTTCCTGCCTCCTTGCTGCTGCCCCTAACTTACTAGGGGCACAACATGGATTATCTGTGTACTTCAACTTCAATTCTCTCCAACTGCAAAACAGATGGAGTACATCTCTTCTCTCCCTTGATGTCTTTAGGTCAGTTTTACAATGAAAAGGAGGATAGCTTTTCAGCTTCCAAATATCAAGGAAGTGCAAGGATAGCTTGAAGGCAGTGGAAACTTGCAGTCAAAGTAGCTGCGGGGACCTGCAGGGCCCAGTGGGAGAAGATGACTATATGGTGTCACTAGCATTTGTCAGTGTAAATGCTGACTTGGTTCCCTTTTCCCACATTTCCACAGCTTTAAAAATACCTTTGTAACTCTTTCTTGGCATTCTTTTACTGTGTATCATGAACTGTTATTTCTGGATAGGCCTCAAGAAAGGATAATGATTTCATAATTTCATGAGTATGAAAAATTGAGTTTTGGTTTTTTACTTGATTTTGAAATTTTTTTATTGTAGAGCAATTTGTATCAAATATCTGAAATAAAACAGTTCTATGATTCTAATTTAACATTTTTTGACTGTTTATCTTATAGGAAAAAACATTTTTAAAAATTGCAGCTTATTATCCAGGGCCACCAATTTAATCTACAAATTATGTTTGAATTGAGGCACTTACTGTAAAAATATTTTCTAGAAATATGATTCCTACAGAATCTGTTTCTCTTTAGTGTTACATTTTTACTTCCTAGTTATTTTACTGGGCATATATAAATTATGTATGAAGCTATATTGGCACATCTAAGCTTAACCTCCCCAAGTTAAGCAGCCCTAGGGCAACTGAAAACAATTCAGAATGATCTGAAGCCTTATTCAACCCATCTTGGGTTTTGCCATTGCAGTTTTTGCTGTTTGCTAATTTCACAATTTGAAAATAATATTAAAAACAAAGTATATGTTCTTACAAATGCTACCGAGTACCTGTGTGCAGGTTTGACACATTGATAAAATACATTCAGTCACAGGAAAGTAGATACAAAATGTATTTCCCTTTGTGTACCTACAAATTCAATTCTCTCCATCCCACTGCTTTTCTCTTCTCTCCTGACTTGACCACAGTGATTTCTGCTAACCTCTTTTTTGTGCCATCCTTCAAGCACAGGTGGCCTTTTCCCAACTTGGAGCCACTTTTGTAAACCTCCTAAGGGCGGAAAAGAACAAAAATTAGGAAAAAAAGAATCATAAGCCAGACTGATAACTGTGTACTATCCAATATAATCAGTACTGGTAGAGTAACATTTGGGCTTTATATTTTATTACTTTTCCTTCCACTTAGTTAGTAAACACTCTTTGAAAAGAAAAATAGGCAAGCTCAGGTCCTAAATTAGAATATGGGCAGAACTTTCCCCCCACTTGTTAATTCATGCTTGTGGCATGACAGAATGAGAAAGCTTGTAGCGCTGTATATAAACCTCCTTAAGCAATCTAAGTTCTCCGAGTGTTAGTCCTCTGTCTGCTAGATGCAGTAATAATATTTACTTTAGAGTAGTATGTGGTATGTATTTAATCATTTGGTTCAACCCCATCGTAGCTCTGGAAGGAAAGGAAAGTCAAGCCAACATTTTTATCTCCTGCAGTAGTCTGGGAATGGGACCCAGATTTTTATATTTTAAATTCAGATACAAGTTATTATTTTTTATACTTTTGTATTATTACATATTAGAAAACCTACAGAGTGGGAAAATTTTTTGCTAGCTATTTCTCAGACACAGGAGTAATATCTAGAACATGTGAAGAACTCAAAAAAACTATACTTCTCAAAATAAAAGACCCAGTCAAAAATGGGCATGTGAAATGAATAGTGTTATGGTTTGGGGGTTATTGTGCAAGGTGAAACAATATATACAAGACACATAAGATTTATAAGATTACTTATACTTTTATAAGATTACTTATAATAGTCACCCAAAGAATTATATACAAGAAGGGGCTGGGGATTTAGCTCAGCGGCAAAGCGCCTGCCTCGCAAGTGCAAGGTCGTGAGTTCGGTTCCCGGTACCGGAGAAAAACCAAAACCAAAACCAAAAAAAAAAAAAAAAAGAATTATATACAAGAGAGTGCAGGAAATCTGTCCACACACTATAGACCAGGAATCCAGCTGAGGGCCTGGATCCCATGATAATGTCCTGCATGAGTCCAGCTGAATACCTAGAGCCCATAACAATGCCTCTCACAAATCCAACTCGAGGCCTAGAGCCCATGACAGTGTCTCATGCAGGCCTGTTTCATGGATCTGTGCTGTGAAGGCCCAAAGGTCAGTGATGGAATCTAGAAAGTCTGTGCCAGTGGGATGAAGGATCTGTGCAAGCAGCCTGAGGGATCTACACTGGAGCCAGGAAGCGATGCTCAAAGTAAGAACCAGGGCTCCCCCAAAAAGTACCACAGCCATCTTCACCAATAGTGAAGTCCCGAGCTCCTCTGATGATCAGGAAAGCTGAGTTCCCATCAAGAAAGCCAATGCAGCAAGCTTCTCTAGGAGACTCTCAGTTACCATCTTGCCCTCCAGAGCCAGGAAGCGATGCTCAAAGCAAGGACCAGAACTCTCCCAAAGAGAACCAAAGCTATTCTCAGTGCCAGCAAGGTCCTGAACTCCTCGGAGGATGAAAACAGCCGAGTTCATCAGGAAAGCCAGCATGACAAGCTCCTCCAACAGAACCAACAACTCCTTACAGCTTCCACCAGCTCCCAACAGCCTGTCTCAGCTCCCGACAGCCTAGCCTCTTCTCCAGTTCTGCCTCTTATGCAGCCGGCAACAATCCCCAGGTGGGCCTCCCATACCCAGCACCATGTTTACTCACTG